TAAGAAATGCAAAAGATCTTTAATGTTTAATTTGAATGATTTTGACAACTATATATATATATCAATGTAATCACCGCTGTAGACAATATATAGAACATGTCCATCACCCCAGAAATTTCCTTCCAGCCCCTTCCAGGAAATCCTCCCCATACCCTACCTAAAAGCAACCGCTGATCTGTTTCTGGTACTATAAGTAAGCTTTGCCTTTTGTAGAAATTCATATGCATGGAATTATACAGTGTGTACTCTTTTGTGTTTGCCTTCTTTAGGGAATTATAATTCTTTGAGAATCATCCGTGTTGTAGCATGTATCAATTAAATTCATTTTTATTGTTGAGTAATATTCCATTGTATGGATGTTTCATAGTTTATCTACTGGCCAAGTGATGGACATTTGGGGTGTTTCGACTTTTTGGCAAATAAAGCTGCTAGAATATTCATGTAAAAGCCTTTACATGGACATGTTTTTATTTATCTTGGGTGGAATTGCTGGGTCTTAAGGCATATGTACATACCATTTACCTACATACAGAGAAACTGCCAAAACAATTATCTAAAGCAGTTGTATCATTCTACACATCAACCAGCAGTTATTTATATCAACAATAGAAAGATGAGCTTTACGATTAGCACACATAATGTTGGGGGCGGTTCATGGGGAAGGCAGTATAGCACAGAGAAGACTAGTGATTCTACAGCATCTTACTACGCTGATGGACAGTGACTGTAATGGGATATGTGGTGGGGACTTGATAATGGGGGGAGTCTAATAACCATAATGTTGTTCATGTAATTGTATATTAATGATACCAAAATAAAATAAAATAAAGATGAGCTAACCCAGTTTATTTAAGTGGGCAAAAAGACTTGAACAGACACTTGATGATATGCAAATAGCCATAAACCACATGAAAAATGTCCAACATCACTAGTCATTAGGGAAATGCATATTAAAACCACAATGAGATATCATTTTATGCTCACTAGAATACAAAAGCAAGATGTCAAAGATGTAGAGCAGTTGGACACCACTGGTTATCACACAGACACATGCACAACAATGAGTGGCAACAGCTCTCAGAGCCACCAGCTGAATTCCTTTACAAAAGAAGGATTCAACGTGGGATTTTTCACATTCCCATATAGACTGGTGTTGGTCAAACCTAGAAAACTGAGAGGTCAGAAGACAAACCTGATGTTTTCCATCAGGTGGGTGGGGTCACTGAGGGTGCCAGGAACATAAATAAGGGCAGGCCCTTGTAATGGTTCTTTATCTCATGCTATATAGACTGAATGTTTGTGCGCCCCCACTAAACTCATATGTTGAAACCTATTTCCCAATATGATAGTACTGGAGGTGGAGCCTTTGGGAGGCAATTAGGTCATAAGAGCTGAGCCCTCATAAATGGGATTAGTGCCCTTATAAAATAGATTCAGACACTGAATCTATTGGTGCCTTGATCTTGGACTTTCCAGCCTACAGAACTGTAGGAAATCAATTTCTATTGTTTATAAGCTACCCAATCTAAGGTATTTTGGGTATAGCAGGCTAAGCAGACTAATACACTTCAGTTTCTCACTCAGAAGGCAAAGTTTTCTGGAGGGTGTATTAGCAGAAGTTGCCCCCTGACCCTTCTAAGGGGTATAAGAGCACCCTGAAGTCAAAGCAAATTAAAGCTGGATCATGGGTCCAGGGTAGAGTTGTGCAGGTTTTCATGGAACCCCTGGGACTACCCAGAATGCGGGTCACTGTAGCTTTGCTGCCGCACTTCTCTCTCCTCTCCTTTCCTGTTTCTGCCTCTACTCTCCTCTCTCTTCCTCCTTTTCATAGCAGAACCATTTATTAAGTTTTATCATGAATCAGGCTTTTAACACACATTTTTATGAGTACAACAACCCTGCAAGGTAGGCTATATTATTCCCAGTTCACAGATGGTGGAATTTGGGCTCCTCAGACTGAGGAACTTGCTCAAGGTCTTAGAGGTAGTGGATCCATTTCCATGGCTGCTGTAACAAATGACCACAACCTTAGAGGCTTAAAACAACATAGATTTATCTTAGAGTTCTGGAGGTCAGAGTCTAAAATGGGCCAGCAGGGCTGTGTTCCTTCTGGAGGCTCTAGAGGAGAATCTGTTTCTTGCCTTTTTCAGCTGCTGAGACTGCCTGCATTCCCTGGCTTATGACCCTGCATCACTCCATTGTCACCCCTCTTCTCTGATTCCCACTCTCCTGCCTCCCTTTTACAAGGACACTTCTGATTACATTAGTCCCACCCTGATAATCCAAGACCTTGGATAATATCCCATCTTAAGACCCTAACTTAATCACATCTGCAAAGTCCCTTGTACTATGCAAGACAACATAGTCACAGGTTCTGGGTATTAGCAGGTGAATATCCCTTGGTGGGTAGAGGGCATTATTCTGCTTACTACAGCTGTGAGTAGTCAAGCCAGGGTTCAATTCCAGTTTTGTCTTTTCCCTAAATCTGTGATCTTTCTTAAGCTACACTGAACCTTCCTTCATCTCCTCCTCTCCCTGGAGCAGCCCTGGATCCTCAACAGAAACAGCATTCCAGAGAGAAAGAGATAACAGAAGACCCTACAGCTGGACACCTGAGAAGGAAGAACTCCTCCAAAGACTCCTCACGGAGCTGGGAAGAAAGAGGGAGCAGAAGACTCCATGGTGGCCAGACCACACTCACACAGAGTGAACACAGCAGCCTTCAGGTCCAGGCAGGAGAAATTCACTGGGGAGGGGGCAGTACAATCCCTGAGGCCTCTGCTGTCAGCACACCATGGCACAGAGCACTAGCAGCAACTCATCTTTCTCTCTCTACCTCTGATCGGGTAAACAGCCAAAGGCCACTAAAAGTCCTGCCCCCTAGAAACAGGCTACCTGCTTCCAGTCCCAGCTGTATGACCATGATCAAGATACTCATCACTCAGCACCTCAGTTGCCTGATCTGTAAAATGGAGTTACTTATACTTAATTTCATAGGGGTTTCATAAAAATTAAATGAGTTAATACATGGAACGGACTTAGAGCAGTGCCTGGCACAGCAGAGGTTATAAATCTTGAGGGAAGATTACAGGTTGGAGTGGTAGAGAGGACAGTCTTTTGGGCCCTCAGGGTCTAAATTTAGCCTGGCTAGTGGTCGTGTCTGGGAAATGGGACACACAGACCACATGTGCTAACCTATCCATGCTGCACAGCATGTGTGTCAGTGCCTCCCACCTTCTGCCTGGTCCTCCTGATTGATGGCCTTCTGGAGGGCCCACGTGCAGTGACCTTAGCCAGGCCCAATTGCTAGGTTCCCTCCACCTATGATCCACATCTGGCTATTTTGGAGACTTTCTGCCAAGGCTAGACTACAGAAAATTTTTCAGAAGACGCACTTCAAATGGCGTGTTTCCTTCTTTCCCTGCCATTTCAGTTACTGGGTCAAGGCTACACTGCTGAATGCATGCATTTGAAACCAGAATCTCAGGTGGGTAGAGAAATCTGGTAAAATTTTGAGATTTAAGGTCAGATAGATTGAATGCAACTCTACCACTTATAAGCCCTAAGGCTTTGGACATGCCATTTAATCTTTCTGAGCCTTTGTTTCTCACCTGCAAAATGGATTATAGCAAGTGCCTCACAGGTGGGTTTTTTTTGGTATCATTAATCTACAATTAATCTGTTTACTAGGCTCCCCCCTTCACCAAGTCCCCCCGACATACCCCTTCACAGTCACTGTCCATCAGCGTAGTAAGATGCTGTAAAATCACTACTTGTCTTCTCTGTGTTGTACAGCCCGCCCCGTACACCCCCCACGTTATACATGCTAATTGTAATGCCCCCTTTCTTTCTCCTGCCCTTATCCCTCCCTTCCCACCCATCCTCCCCAGTCCCTTTCCCTTTGGTAACTGTTAGTCCATTCGGCCTCACAGGTTTTTATGAGATTATATAACACATAAAGTTTTTGGCACAGTGTTTGGGCATATGATAAGAAATTCCCAACATATGGTGGCCATTCCTCTGGCCTAAGTGGTCAAACTGCATGATTTTCACACATCAGCACCCAGTGACATGGAATAACAAGCCTTCAGACATATGATGGCCACTTCTTCTGGGGCCAGGGAGGCCTCTGGGGAGGTTGGCAGTGTCTACTCCACGATGTCTGGCCTTGTCTGAGTAGGACAGGATTGAACAGCTATTGAAGTTCCTAGATCTGGGAGACTCAGCAAGGCATCAAGGAAGGAAGGGCAGGGAACCCAGGGACCAGGCCTGCCCGGAGGCATCTGGACGACAGTGGTGCCATCATCTGATGGGGGAATGGGGACGTAGGACATCTCTGGGTGGGGAGGAGATGGTTAGTTGACTTTTGGACATATGAGTGAGGGGTCCATGGATATCTCTGTCACAATTTTTTCAACTGCCCTGACCATAGCATTTTATAAATACCTGCTCAAATGGCCATGTGTTATTTCACCTCCCCACCACTCATGAGCTGTGAGCTCCCTGAGCATAGGCTCCATTTTCCACTCATCTCTATGGTCTCAGGTCCTGGCACAGTAAGTGATGCCCATCAATAGTGCTCAGTAAGTGTCTGTTGAGTGACAGAGTGGGTATAATCTCCCCTTGAAGTAGAGGCATGCCCTTTCCTCTCGCTACCATTGTGTGGGGCTTTGCAGCTTTGCACCAGGCAGAATGGGAAGCAGCCAGACCTGGGAGTTGGATGGCTGAGAAGCCCAGGACAAGACAGGATGGGGAACTGTGTCCATATCAGGTCTCCCTGGAGTGGGTGCCCACACCTGGGCTGCTCATAATAGGTAGATGGGCAGGTGGGGGCACTTGAGGTTGGAGGAAGGGTGGAGCAGGATGTGGGCTGAGGGTCTGGGAGAATGGTCCAGAGGCAAGCTGGCCATGCCATCTGGCAGGCCCAAGAGTGACTGCTCAGCCCATCCACCATAAAGCAAACAAGGCCACTCCACCCATCAGCAGGCCTTGTGACTCACCTACTGGATCCTGTGTTGCCGTCATCAAGGAGAGGATGTATTCCTGGAGGGGCAGGGCACCAGTCCAAGTCTTGTCAGTTGGCAGGAAGGCTGCTGGGTGAGGCTGGGAGTGTCGGCCCAGCCAGTCCCCATGTCTTGGTCTTCACATGGACCTGAAGAAGGAGAGGGGGATCACCAGTGCCCCTGCCCAAGCTCAAATTTAGGGCATCTCTGTCCTTAGCATATTGATCCCAGCCCTTGTGTAGGTGCCCAGGGCTTTTAGGGCTTGCCCTCTGCTCTGCTTCCAGGAGTCCCTACTCAAGGCACTTGGCATCACAGTGCTGCATACATGTCACCTCATCCTCTCCTCAGGGCTCACAGCTGCCCTGAGTGTCAGGCTGGAGGTGGTACCTAGCATGTTTCATTCATGGGACTTATTCCAGCCTGAAAATACACCCTGCTGCTCATTTGGTATCAGTGACCCACTTAACCACAAGCTCCTTGGGCAGAAATTGTGTCCAACTTATTCCCTGCTATATCCAAACACTCAGATGAGCTTGGCACCTAGCTGCTCATTAAATAAAGCCTTGCTGAATGGATGGATGAATTCTGAATGAATGAATGAGGTTTATTTGGATACACTTACATCCATAAGGGTGCTGTCCAAGAGCAGTTGGATATACAAGTCAGGCTAATACTTTGGTGGGAGGACAGATTAGGAAGTTTATTACTATGAGTGAATCTAGGAGGTGTTTGAGGAAATAGACGTTAGACAGGAGGAGATGGTGGGATAGTAGGTGGGCTCAGCACTCTATGGACTGCCTTGATTTTACTCTGGACTTTGAAGGATGCAAGCTTTCTGGTCCTTTGGAGCAGCTAGAACCATCAGCAGCCATTCCTGCCACATTGATAAAAATCTAAGGTCCAAACAAAGGAGGTGACAAAATCCTTTGTTCTCTTCGGTCCCCTTCTCACTCTAACCTGGGACATTAGCAGACAGATCTGGGAACCAGATTCTCAGACATGGTGTGATAGAGCCAGGAGCACCATCATATGCAAGGGTGGGGGCAGGCACGGAGCTGGACCTGCTCAACCTGGAGATACTCGCCTGGGGTTCTTGAAAGTGCAGTAGACTAGTGACAGAGATGGGACCCCCACCACAAGTAGTCTCGGGGAAGCAGAACTTTTGTGTAACTCTGTTCAAAGCACCCAACAATGAAACTGGTAGGTAGTAAGCACCCCATTAATGGAGGCTGAATGACTTCATGGTGGGGCTGCTGCAGGAAGGCCTCAGTGAAAGGTGGGAGACAGGACCTAGATGACCTTAAAGTTCCTCTCTCTGTATGAGATGATGTTCGTGTTCAGGACAGGATATCATTGGTAAATATTTGCTCTGCCTGTTAAACTATGGAAGGATAGCTGTCACCTGCTTCAAAGGCACCAGTGGGCCTGAGATTCCTGAGGAGGGGCAGAAGGTGAGTCGTGGACCTCAGGCTGGGCTTGCCTGTAGATATGGGGCTTCTATCCATCTGTAGGGTGACTGGTTTCTTAGGGACCCCAAAGGGGCTATTCTTGAACAAGAATCCTTCCCATTGACTTATTTAACTATTTTTACAATTTACCTGTAGGCTCGAAATCTTTAAAAAAAAAAGGTTTTTAAAAAAATCATTGACATCTACCTACCACTTCAGCATTTTATTAAAAATAAAAATAATAATAATAATAGGAGAAATGTGGGATCAACATATAAATCAAGTACAAAAATCAAATGAATATTCATATTTGACCTGATGGTTTATAGGTCATATTGCATGATCAAAACCGAAAGTTTCTGTGATGAATGCCCTTGTACTGTTCACCATGTAAGAATTTATTCACTCTGTAAGAATTCGTTCACCATGTAAGAACTTGTTCGTTATGCTTCAGAAGATTGGAGACTGACGAGAATTAGGCTTGAGATGGATTAATGATTGTACATTGAGCATTGACCCCCTATGGACTGAATTTTATTGTTGTTAACAACCATTTGATCAATAAATATGAGAGATGCCCTCTCAAAAAAAAAAAAAAAAATCATTGAAACTTGGATTCAGATGTTTTGGAGTGAGGCCCAGCATCTGCAGTTTTAAATTCTCCCCAGGGAAATCTAACCTGCAGATGGAGCTGATAATCACTGACCTAAATGAACTGGAGACATGCATATGGAAATACAATTTTGTTATTCTTTTTATAAATTAGAAATTTTTTGAAAGCAAATAACCAAGTATCTCATTCATCTATATTGTTGAAGTGGGGGGGAGTTTTAGATACTGATTTTTCTTGAAAAGAATCTTGTTTGTATTTAACCCATTAAAATCTGAATAGGCATATAATACATGCAAAGCACGAAGGCATCTTCCTTGTTTTGTTCTGCTTTTTTTCCCCTCTCAGTTGTTCCCTCTTCATGGTGCAAAAATAAAAATAAAAAGAATCACTTCTATTTACATTTACACTTCATTTCATTCCTTGCAAAATGGTCTCCTCTGCTCTCACTACTCTCCTCTTCACAGCAGTCCTAAGAGGAAGACAGAGTCAGAATTATCATCCCCATTTTGCACATGGGTAAACTGAGGCCCAGTTAAGGAGCGTGGCTTTTCTAAGGTCAGAGGGTTGGTGGATGGAGGCACTGGCAAAGGAATCCATGACTGCAGCCCCTTTTCTCTGCCTCCTGCCACCTTCTAGTTGTCTTTTTTGTTCTTTTTTCTGATCTGCCCCCATCTCTCCCAGCTCCGCACCCCAACTCGGTTTCTGTTTTTCTCTTTCTACTTCAATTTCCCTTTCCCTCTTGCTCCAGCCCTCAGACTGGGGGCAGCTTTGCAAGTTGTTCAAATTTTTCCTCACTCCAGCCCCACAGCTACAGCCCCAGGCCACCAGGAGTTCAGTATCTCTACCAAGAGCCCTTCCCAGATGCCAGGGTGCAGAGGTTACCTCTGGGTGACATTCTCAGCCTCTCCATCTGGCCTGAGATAAGATAAGGGTGGGGAGCAGCACTATAAACAGGTCCCCATCCTTTACCCCAGCTCAGGCCTCAGCTAGCTCAGGCCACATCAGCCCAGGATCAGCATGGCCATCCGCCTGTGGGTGGTCACTCTGGCCTTGGCAGCCCTCCTCATTGTGGACAGGGGTGAGTAGGCAGAGCCTACATTCTCTATGGCTTGGTGTTGGTAGGTGATCTCGGGGTGGGGGCAGAGGCAAGTCCTGGAACACATTGTGACACCTCGGTTTTCTGCATATACCTTCTTTCTGCACCCCTCCACTGTGGTGGGGAAAGGCCTGAGTAGGAGGAAAGAAAACTAGGTTCAAGTCTTGACTTTCGCCCAGAATTGTGTAATTCCCTTCCCCTCTTGAGGCCTCCGTTTCTCCAGCTGTAAAGTTAGGAGATTGTGTTAGTTCACTGTTGCACTGAGCACTACTGGTCTAGAAACCTGGGAGGCAGAAAGGAGCAGGCCTATATCAGGGAGGATGGGCAAGTCTGCTGGCTGCAGAGTGGGGGGCACTCAGGGAGCACGGCCTGGGTCCTCTGAACAACATCCGCTCTGTCAGGCTGTGGTTGTGGGACTGAAGGCAGCTGTGTGAGCACATGAGAGCCCTCTACTGGGAGCCCTTGATCTGGACGCATGCTAAGGGCCTAGGGTACCTCTGCAGTCTCCTACCTGCTGACAGGCATTGTTCTAGGCCCTTAAGACATTATCAGTGAGCAAAAGAGAAAAAGAACTGCTCTGATGGGGCTTAAATCCAATGGGTTAAGAGGGAGGGGAACAGATAATGAACAAGATAGGTGCAATGTATGTTAAACAGTATGTTAGAAGGTGATAAAGGCTAAGGAAAAATATTGGGCTGGGTGATAGAGATTGGGAGGGGGTTGCAATGTTAAATCAGGAGAGTTCTTTCTGAGAGCTAATGTTGAGCAAAGCTTGAAGCAGGTGAGAGAGTAAGCCATGTGGCTAACTAGGAGAAAAGGGACCAGATGCAAAAGCCCTGGGATAGAAGCATACCTGGAGTGTTTTAGGTACAGCAAGGAGGCCAGTGAAGTTAGAATAGAGTGAGAGGGAGGGTGCAGAGTGATGGGAGAGGAGATGAGGGAGGCACCTGGGGACTACACTAGGCATTTCCTCTGAGATTAAATGGGAAGCACAGAAGGGTTTTGAGCAGAGTCGGGTGTTAAAAGGATGGCTCTGGCTACTATATTGAGAATAGACTAAAGGGGGAAGCAGGGAGACTACTTAGGACAGACCTGGACAAAGCCATGAAATTACAGGACATGGCCCAACAGGATCCCAAGGCCACTGACCTCATGGCCAGTCCCCAGCTGGGAACACAGACCTGGGGACTAAAGCAACAGAGAATTAGTCGGGGTGGGGGCAGAGGCAAGGCCTAGAACACATTGTGACGCCTCGGTTTTCTGCTTATACCTTCTTTCTGCACCCCTCCACTGTGGTGGGGAAAGGCCTGAGTAGGAGGAAAGAAAACTAGGTTCAAGTCTTGACTCTGGCCCAGAATTGTGTAATTCCCTTCCCCTCTTGAGGAGCTCTGGCCCAGCACAGCCTGTTTATTTGCATCCTGGCATCCATTCTCTGAGTGATTCTCTGTTGGGAACACTGAGTGGGCCTGCCATGAAGAGAGTCCTTAAATCCATTTCAGATTCCTGCCTGGGTTCAGTGAGCAGGAAGCACCTTAGGCCAAAGTCAAGGGGATTTGGGGGGATACAGCAGCTTCTTCCACATCCTCCAGGAAGCAACTTTGACACCAACAGGATTCTGAACAGCTGCTCCCTGCAATGCACGTTAGTGGTCAATCCTGCCATGTTGGGGCAGAAACAAAGGAGCCCCAAGAAGTTCAGATCTATAGGAGTGACCTAGTGAGAGGGACAGCACGTGGTATGAAAGAAACTGCTGCAGTCTAAATGTTTGTGGCTCCCAAAATGCCCGTGTTGAAATCCTAACCCTTGAGGTGATGGTATTGAGATGTGGAAACTTTAGGAGTTGGTTAGGTCTAGAGGTCAGAGCCCTCATAAATCAGATTAGTACCCTTATAAAAGGGACCCCAGAGAGCTCCCTTGCCCCCTTCCACCATGTGAGGACACAGGGAGAAGTAACCAGCTGTGAACCAGGAAAAGCATCCTACTAGACATCAAATCTGACAGTGCCATGATCTTGGACTTCCCAGCCTTCAGAGCTGTGAGAAGTAAATGTTTATTGTTTATAGGACACCTAGTTTATGGCATTTTTGTTATAGCTGTCCAAAAGGACTAAAATAGAAGCCTAAATCCAAGTCTGCTTAGGAAACCCTTAGGAAAGGTTTAGGTCATCAAGGAAGCTTCTCAAGAAGGTGGCATCTGAGCTTTGAAGTAAGGGTATGAATCAATAGGAGAAGGGGGAAAAGGACATTTTAGGCAGAGGGAACAGCAAGCCAAAGCAGAGCCCATTCTGGAACAGTGAGCAGAGGAGTAACTGGGGCATAGATTACATGGAGAGGTGTACTAGGAAAGGAGTCCAGGAGTGTGTTGGATCAGCTTATGCAGTTCCCTAAACATAAAATGAAACAGCTTAGTGATCATGACAGGGAGCTGTAGAAGGGCTTTTTATTTTTCTAATGCTTTTTTTGTCTCCTAACAGTTACATATCATGAAATGCATAAATCTTATCACTCAATGAATCTTATCCAATGAGTTTTGACAGTGTGTATACCTGTGTAAACCAAACCCCTATCAAGATACAGAATATTTCCATTGCCCTAGAAAATTCCTTCATGCCAGTCAGTTCCCACCCCTAGAGGCAACCACTGCTCTTTTTTCCACCATAGATTAGTTTGGCCTGTTCTAGAATGTCACACAGGAAGTTGCATTTACCCCAGGTGGCCCTTGACCTTGGCTTAAATGTGCCCCCTCCAACAGTGTGTAGTCTTCTACTCTGGCTTCTTTTGCTCAGCATGCTTTTGAAATGAAGCCATTGTTGCATATATCAGTTGTTTCCTTGTTTTTATTGCTGAGTTGTATCTTATTGTATATGTGGTATCATAGTTTATCCATTTTCCTGTTGAAGAACATTTGGGTGATTTCCAATTTGGGCAATAATGACATGGAAGGTTTTGAGCAGTGTAGTCACAAGGCTAGATGTGCATTTTGATGCTCCAATGCCACCCTTAATCAGCTAGTGAGAGGTCACTTAGTCTCAGTTCCCTCTCTACCTTGGAAAACCCTTATAATAGCATCCCCAGGGCCTTGTGCACCCCCAGCAATGGAGAACACTCCACTTCTCCTTCAGTGATAAGGCATAATTCCCACTGAGAAAATATTCTCGGAACTAAAACCTGCTTCCCTGCTTCCTTCTTGCATGGATGAACTCCGCCCTGTGAGGTTATGAGCTCATCTCTCCCCTGGCCCAAGACAGCCCTTCAGAGATTTCAGAAGCATCCTGCCCTTCTCCAATTTACATAGACACCTTTCCTTCCACCTGTGGTATTAGATATGGCTCCTATTCTGTCATCCATCCATCACACTCACCAGTCACATCACAGTTTACTTGTGTCCTGTAAGCAGTTCATCTAGACCTTGAGTGGCCAAGGAGCACAACAGTGTTTGTGGAGAGCCAGGCTGTGGAGTGACAGACCTGTGTGCAAACACAGCTCTTCCCTAAAACAAACTGTGTTGCTTTACCTCTGAGCCTCCTTCAGAGGTCTGTCAAGTTCCCCACAAAATACTCAAATCTGCATGCATTTTACTGGGGAGGGCTCCTAGGGAAGACACCCGTGAGGGAGGAGGGAGGCTGACTATAATGCAGTGCAACAGAGGCCTCTCGTGACCTCACAGCCCTTCAGCACTGTTCTAAATAGAGAGGGGTGCAGCCGACAGCGACAATGTCATCGCATATGGGCTGTTCCTGGGTGGGAGATGCGACTGTAGATGAGACAGCTCCATTCTCTGGGGGTAATTCCTAGGAAGGGCCTGGCTGTGAGCGGCCAATCCTCCTGGCAGCTGAGGAAAGGAGCACCTCAGTCCCGTGGTGGGCGATGGGTAGCCGATTGTAGTCCCCACTACTGCCTCCTTTCCTCCCCGTTACATAGTAGTGAGAGGTGTGAAGGCTTGTTTAGAGCATACCTGGTTCATAATAACTTAATTATTTTTATTATTACATTGGGCATAATCCCAGTAGGATCTGACTAATAAGTAACAGGCTGGACTGTCACCACCTTAATTCTAGACTTTCTCTGTTCTTATAACCCAAGGTCACATCAGCTTTCTGGAAGCCCCACTGTCTGGTGACTCATTAGCTTTCCTTGAGGAATTCTAGATGTAGTAGCTGGGGCAGTTCCCCTGAAGCAGTCCTCAAGACACCTGGACCTGGTGCCGAAAGCTGACATCACCTAATTCTTGCTTTTTTACCTTTCAGAAGTGCCAGTGTCGGCAGCAAAGCCTGTTTTCTCAAGAATGGTAAGGCATCAGCTTGCACTTCTGGCCCCAGGCTTACCATTCCAGCCTTCCCTGCAGAGGGGAGCTGTTTCATCCACACTGGGAAACCAGGGTTTTTCTTCTTTACATTTCACTCAGATAACTCCCATGCTTCACGGTGGCCAGGGTGGCCTCCAGAGCCTGCATGTTCCCCAGGTTAGCCTTTCCAGGATGAGCAGGCCCCAGCCCCTTTGCCAAAGCCCCAGACCTGATCTCAAGGCCCTTCAGAGACCTGTCCCAACCTGATCTCCAAGGCTGCTGCTAGCAAAGGGATCCCATCACCTGGGCTCAGTAGGACCAAGTACACCCTCTGTTTTGCATAGTGCAGACCATCAGGCTGCAGGGTGCAGGCCAAAGAGGCAACCCTGGCTCATTGAATTGCCCTGCAGTGTGCCAGTCTCCCCACCAACACTCCCCATCATCCATCCCTTCATGCTGGAACACAGACACCAGGTTGTTCCCAAGCCAGGATTCCACCTTGGCCCTGAGTCTGATGCTCCTAGGGATCCCAAGGCAGTGTTGCTGGCCTCCTTGAGACCCTCAGCCCACCCTTCACATAGGTGAACGAGAAGGATCAAAGCCACCTTCCCATCCAGCAGCCACAGCGTCTTTGCCATCAGCCCATCAGAACCCAGCTCCACTTACTATGCCAGACAGAGTCTAATGCTTTACATACATATTGCAGTTAACCCTGTGAGAAGGATACTATTAATATTTACAGTTTTTGCAGATGAAGAAACTGAAGTTTGGAGAGTGGAATTAGCTGATCCAAGTTTATAGCTAATTAGTGCATAACTCAGGTCTACAGGGCCTGGGCTCTTGACCACTGCACCAACTCCCTCCCTCACCCTGATCCAGTCCTGATCCAGGTCTGATCCTGACCTCATGCCTGGCCTGAAACCCTTTCAGACTGAGTCTCAGTTAAATCCCAAGCTCTGTCTCAATTCTCCAGCCTTCCCACAATGGGAGCTTGATAGATCATGCAGGCCCAGGTGAGTTCAGGAGCCCTCAGGGAGAAGAGGCCCCTCCCTGGAGCCCCAGGGTCCCTCCGAACTGCCTCCGAATCCCTGAGTGCCCTCCCTCCCTTCCTCTCTTCCACAGCCTATCTGTGAGCACATGGCGGAGTCTCCAGAGTGCTCCCAGTCATTCAACTGGGTTTGTGGTACTGATGGAGTCACATATATGAATGAATGCCAGCTCTGCTGGACCCGGATGTAAGCCCACCCCCTGCCTTCCCCTTGGCTTTGCTTGGGTGGGTCTCATTTCTGGCACATGCAAGTCTGGAAGGAGCAAGACTTGACCTGCCCCTTCCTTTACATACACTTGGTCTGAGAGGAATCCTCCAACATTTGCCCCAACCAGATGAGCGCAAGTATAATTCAGAGAAGGCACATGGTGCCAAAGCCACAGCTGGTGGGGGGTGGGGGTTGAGGGGTGGGCACAGAAATCCTGGGTTCTTTTCCTTGTTCTGCCCTTGGCTGACAAGATGACCTAATTTGTTCATTTATTGCTCCAGCCAACGATCACTTATTCAACACCCACTATATGCTAGGCACTGGGGATATAACAGGACATAATAAGCTAGACAGCATCGCTAGCCTAGGGCATACCAAGTTTAAGGGGGACATGAAGCCTACAGTCAGCTAACTGCAGCAGACAATGCTAAAGGCTCGGATGGGGGCACACAGGGTACTGTGTGTAAAGATCAAGGGCAGGGAAGACTTCCCAGAGGAGGTGACACTCCAGCTGAGCCCTGAGAATAAGTAGAAATTAGCTAGGAAAAAGGAACAGGGGAAGGTAATTCCAAGTAGTGAAATGAGTTTGGAAAGGTCTAGAAGGGAAAGAAAGTTTGTATTTGAGAAAATATAATAAATAGTATATACTGGGGCATAAGTTTGAACGACAGTGGGAGAGAGACAAGAAATGAGTCGAGAGGTGAGCAGGTATGAACCTTGACCTTGGTATGTCTGATCCCCTAATTGATCTTTCTCCATTAATAAAACCCTTGAGCCAGGCCAGCACTAAGTAAGATCAAAGAAGACAAGAAAGTCTTTGAAAGCTGCAACTCTTTATAGACAGGTGGGCAGGAGAGCAGCAGGACATTATCCTAACATCGATGGGGGGGTGGGAGTGGGGATTAAGGGGCTTGTGGGGCAAAGATGTTTGTGGGGAGTTGAGCCTCTAAGATATCCCAGTGGAGATGTGCCGAGTTCAGAACAGAAGTCAAGGCCATACACGGATTCAGCAGCCATCAGCATGCAGTGGTGGGTGAAACCCCAGGAAGCTGAAATCTAGGGGGAGGGTACCCAAGAAGGAACAGCTGCAGAAGGATGTGCCCAAGGACCCCTGGGACCTGCCCTGGACTGTACACTGAGTGGCACAGTGTAGAAATAGTGCTCAGCAGAGTGGATGGATGGATTGGCATGTTACAGTTCCTGAAAAAGTGACCTCATCCTTGTCTTCTGTGATCCTAGGAAAACCAAACAGGATATACAGATCATCAAGGATGGCAAATGCTGACCCCATAAGCTATGGAGCTTCAGGCTGGAAAGCAGTGGTGGGAGTGGAAAAGATGTGACATGAAATAAAAGATCCAGCCCAACCCAGCCACATGGCCCAGTGTCTTTGGGGATGCCGGTGAGGTGGTTGGGGGTTGGGGGGGATTTTGCCCTGTCCCCCATACCCTGAATCTGATGTCTTCTCCATTACTCTGGTGCTCCTCAACCTTGTCACTTGTTCCCTTAGAGGTCCCAGATATCTTCTGCCTTCTTGAGGAGGTCAGGGCTCTGAGAGGCCAGCCCTGTCCCCAGGACTCCATTCAGTGCTCTACCCCAGCCTGGCCTGCCAGTGAGGTCAAGAACCCAGGTGAGATCTGTACCCTCTGCCACTTATGGGCTGCATGGCCCAGCCTCAGGCAGCTTTGGGAGGGTCCCAACATCCCTCATGGCTTTCTGGGCTGTACCAGCACCAAGCTGTCTCATTCACACATACACACACATGCACACACACAGACACACTGACCGTGGCTGATATACAGAGGCACTGTACACTGTACATCTGAACTCCTTGTTAAAATGCTGAACTAGGCGAAAACATGAGCAGTTGAGAACAGGTGCTGCCCCAAGCACTTGAGTGTCCCTTTGAACCCCGGCCACCCACCCACAGCAGGATGACTTCTAGATCCTGCTCTGTTCTTCTGGTCAACATCCATTCTGACTGGTGGTTAAATATATCAACATTGGATACAACCCAAGGCACACACAGCATGCATGCACTCACACAATGGCCCACAGGAACACATGGCATTCAGAAATCCCACCACAGACAGAGACCCCAGCCTGAGGTATACATTAAATACCCCCTCTTTTGGCTAAAGCTCATAGGAAGAGCCTCTTGATAATGGTGGCAGGGGAAAGGAGTGTGGCGAAGGGCCTGACCAAGTGAGAGCACTTTGACATGGACTGATTCCTGCTGTAGGGTGGGCAGAGAGAGCAGGAAATGCTCTATGGAAAAACACAGAGAGGAATGTGGGTGCAGGAATTGTTGCTGATAAATCTACAGGTGACAGGGACTGAGAGGTCATCCACAGGCCCTTTCACTGCTACTGATAACAGAAACTTGTTTCCATCCTGCACAGGAATGACATAGGATTTAGTTTGGCTGTGAGAGACCAGCAAGCCAAGATGTGTTGTTTAACCAGATAGCAATTAACTCTCACACATACCTCTGCAGTATGCTTACTTCATGCTCCATTTGTGTTGTTACTCTGCTATCTTCATCAGTTTCCACCTGTGTTCAAAATAGCTGCTCCCCCTCCAGCCATCAGGTCTACATTCCAGCCCACGGACAGGGGGAAAGAAGGGCACTTTCGTGCCTCTGAAGATGCTTCCATAAGACGTACACGCTGTTTATATCCTGTCTGCTAAAATACAGTCTCTTGGCCATGTTAGTGCAAGAAGACTGGGAAATGTTGTTTTTATCTAGTTGGCCATGTGCTAAACTGAAAATTAGGAGTTAACTTATTGTGGGAAGAGAGTGGTTATTGATGACATCTAAGTCTATGCTCTAAGTGGGAAGCCCCTTTCATACCCAAGTGGCATAGCTCAGCCAAGCTTCTCTCAGTGACTCTCCCCTCCCAAGCTTCCACTCACATGATGAGGAACTGCAAAGATTATGCCCAAACTATGCCACACACCACACTGGAAGAAATACCTAATTCCTCACTTTACAGATGTGGAAACTGTGGCCCTGTCTCTAGGAACCACGCTGAAACCTAAGTGCAGGCCCCTAACAGCCCAGTCTATGGCATGTGGCACCTGCTGCCCCAGCTATTACTGATTGGCCAGATTATTCTCCAGGATTTTTCAAATCAGAAAGAGGCAGTTCATTTCTGGTACTAAAATTGTTTAAGATGCGTGAAGTGGAGCCTGCTGGCAGCCATGTTTCCTGCTTCTTGGAAGCAGGATTGAATGATGCCAACATGCAAAAGCCACGGAGAGTGATTCCAGGCAATGTTTGAGTTCCTGAAGACCAATTGCCCTTGAACTTTCTAAAGTTACATGAGATAACCTGACATCCTGCCAACAGATTTTCTATTTCAACAATCTCGTAAGAGTAGGTTTCTGGTACTTTCAGCTAAAAGTCCTGATTACTAGATGGAGAAGGGCTTCTCAGAGTAAGTAACACTTAAGCTATGCTTGAAGGATAAATTGTTGACTGAACAGTATGTGGGAGAATTCTCCCAGCACTGTGAGGCTAAAAGATGTTTGTGGGATCACGGATCCCCATTTGTTCCCCTGTAGCAGGACTGACCATGTGACAGGAAAGTAGGCAACTAAGAGTGTCCCTTCTGTGGTCGCCAGCAGAACGACCCTGGGGATGTTCCCATCTGTATGGGTGAGCCATGTGCCCAGGCCCCGGTCACCACCCTGCACATCTGCCTGGCCACCTGCACCTTAGCCTCATTTTCCACCCTTAAGTAAGACAATAGCTATTGATGCTGTACATTCCAGTATTGACAGAGCTTCAGTGGCCAACTGTAGATGCAGGAATTTCACCCCTGATGTTTGTGTTCAACATTCATCCAATCCCCAAATTTTTATTGAGCACCTACTACAAGCCAGACTATGTGCTTAAAATACACTGTTAGCAATACAGAGCAGCTCCTTAACCCAAGGAATTAGTTAAGTGTTAAAGACAAATATTAATCAAATAATCCACAAATCAGTCATCACAGATTGCAATAAAAGCTGCTTATCATCAAAGTAATAGAGCAAGCTGTGAGAGGTTATCACCTGGGAGCTTATTATGTACATGCTGTTCTCAAACACTGGGTGAGTTTGCTCCATGGAAGAGACATTTAAGTTCTGAAGGACAAATAGGAATCACCTAGGAAAGGAGTGGAGGGAGGAGGAAGGATGAGGAAGAGCTGGCCAAGCAGAGGAACAGCATATACAAAGACCCCAGCGCAGGAGAGGCCATAGAGCAGGTCAGGACCTGAACCAAGACAAGAGAGCTGACAGCAGGAAGCACAGGACTGTGGCCCAAGATGAAATGGGAGAGGGTGGAGGGTAAAGACTCTGGCCTTTATCCTATGAGAAATAAGATGCCATTTGGAGTGCTTTAAGCAGGGGAATGACATGGTAAGACTTGCACTTCATGATCACTCAAGCTGTTCGGTGGAGAATGAACTGGAAGGGCCAGAGACCAACATGGGAGATAGAAGGAGAGCAAGAGAGAGAAAATGAGAGCTAGCAATCCTGTGTTAGTTGGGAGACAGTACAGCAGAGATTAAGGGCATTGACTCTGCAACAAACTGCCCAGTATTATATCCTGACTTTGCCACTTATTCTATGACCTTGAGCAAATTACCTAAGCTCTCTCTGTTTCCTTATCTCCAGAATGGGGATAGTATCTACCTCCTAGATTGTGTGAGGGTTAAATGACTAATTCACCCAAAGAATTTAGAACAGTATCTGGCAAACAGTGACTTCTCAATAAATGTTGTGGCCCAAGGCCACACAGCTACTATATAAAACAGATAAATACTGAACTGCTCTGATTAAAGTTGTGGGTAGGATGGGCTGGGCCGAGCCTTGTCCACCTGTCTACCACCACCACCACCTTGTCCCTGGTCTCACCCATACAGTCCTAAATTGCTGGGACTCCAGTGACTCCCTCTCTGCCAAAAAAGGTCGGCCACAGAGTGGCCTCTGGGAAGCCTGTCTCCTGGGCACTGTGCGAAAAATGGGGTGACAGAGCTCATCAGTTTAAGAGTTCTAGCATGCAGGGCCACCCTTGACTTTATTAATGTAAATTACAACCAGAGGCACAGAACTCTTTTGCTTCGCATCCTTCATCAAACAAAAAAGCTTAAATACTCTTCTGCTTGTTGATGTATATATAAAATATTTTAAAAAGAAAATAACAATGTGGGGGCCAGAAAATGGATGGGAATAACCTTAAATAAAATATAGATCTCAGAAGGGTACAGTTAATAGAAATGCGTAAGAAGGAACTCCTGAGAAGTTTATGGTTTGCCTTTACCACCTAATTGCTCTACTCACTCTGGCTTCCCTCTCTGCCCCTCCCAAGCCATGCATCTGAATCTGGTTTTAAGCAGAGATCAGTCAACACTGGGTTGTAACCGTCTAGAGATTTGACTGGGAACAAGTAAGTTTATGCATCAATCACAGGCCCCCACCCCAAGAATGGCCCCCTGAGACCTCATGGCCTATGGCTGGGCAGGGTCACTGGGAGGTGAGAACAGAGTCTGTGAACCAACAACCCAGCCAGCTGTTCCAGAATTAGGTCACAACGAGGGATATTTAGACTACAAACACCTGTTCCAACAGTCCCAACATTCCTGGCCACATGTAATCTCCTGGTGATTTTGGTTTACATCTATGGGACTATGGAATTAGAAGGGCAAAAAGGTCTCATGTATCTGAAGACCAGAGTGTCCTATAAACCTGGAACTACCCAGGATAAATGAGAGCTCTCTCCAACCCAAAGAAAAGCACCCAAAGGTCAAAAGAGCTGGGAAGACTTGGGCAGGGGGAGCCTCTCCAGACAATGGTGGGCTTCTGGACAGCACAGCCCCACAGAGACAGAAATAGAAAACCAGCTCTACTTCAGATTGTAAAGACAATACTTGTTCACTGAGAACAGGTGTAGGAGTAGGAAAATTGGCAGTCGGCCAACTGTCCTTAACAGCCCTAGCGAAATCAGGTAGCTTCTGTTCCAGAGAAGACAGAACTGGTGGTGGTGTTCTTCAGGGCAGCATAGCCTCTCTGCCTCCCTTCACTCGGCCAGGGCCAAGTTTGTGGACCGCAGCAGCTCTGTTTCCTGGCAGATGTTCTGTTCCACGATGTCACACTCAGCTAGGAACGCCTACAAGATAAGTGCAGGGCAGTGAGGGACCATCTAGGGCTGGCCAACCCCTGCCCATGCAAGGCTTTTTGCTCAGCCATCGTGGGAAACCCATGGCTGAAAGACTCAAACAGGATGTGCACTGCACTGTAAATCAGTTCTAATAAATTTTAATGAAAAGTTACCTTTTTACATTAAGAAGAAAAAAGAAAAACCAGGCCATGCAGGAATGGAGA